ACTACGTATCTGTAAATAACGATTCTTGGGGTGCACCAAAAAACAATGCAGTACTTAAAAAGATTCTTCAGCCTGATGAAGACCAATCATATTATCATGTGGTCTGTGGAGAACACGGAACCGGGAAAACCACGTTAACCAGAATTGCGTCAAGGGAAGTAGGGCAGGATAAGGACAAGGGAATACAGGGCGGAACAGGTGTCATATACGTTGAAATTCCTGCTGATGCAGAAGATATTAGAGGACTTTGGCATAGCATTCGGACAATCTCTTAACTTTGCATTTGAGGAATGTATCTCTTTTACGGAACATTTTATGATGAAAATATTAGGTCATACAAATAGTAAGTTGATCATTATTATCCTTTACAACCGAAGCTTTTGATCCTAGTGTTTCTCTTTATAGGTAAAGTGAGCGTCCCAAGTGGAAAAGAGCCTTAGAAGCCTTCAAGCGCGCTAGTGCAGTGTACGAAGCAAAACACAACAAACCTCCAGTCATCGTTTATGACAACATTGCCAAATTAGTTAGTGTGAACCCAAAAGTTCTTGATACTCTCCAAGATGACGCTAAAATGAATGCTGATCACCGAAAGTACATCGCAGTATTTGTCAGTGGTGAAGGTTCGGTTCCTCGAAGAATGGAATGTAAGTACTGCATTGTTTTTTGGTGCACCCCAAGAATCGTTATTTACAGATACGTAGTGATTCTTATTTTAGCTCGCAGTTCATGGTCACGTGCAGACAAACCAGTGATAGAAATCGGAGACCTTAGCGAGGAAGAATCAATGGAATATCTAGTCGACAAGCGCAAAATCAACTCTTTAGAGGCAAAAAAGCTATATGATTTAATAGGTGGACGCATCGTAGAACTGAAGTCCACAGCTGATAAATTTCAGGCTAAACAACCCTTTGAAGGTAAGAATTAGTCTAATCAAATGCATTTACACGACTCTGCTCACTTAACTCTTTTTCTTTAGTCATTAAAGCGCAAGTCTTTGGTACAGTTTATGATAATCTTGAGAAGGCAGAAATGAATCCACGTCAACCATATCACGAATCGGCAAAAATTATAATAAGAGCTTTGCTAAATTCCGATGGTATGATTCATGTTAGCAAGCTTCGAGAAATGGCCAAAGTGGAACCAAGCAAGTTGTTGGATGGTAATGTATTTGCATACCACCCTCAAAATAAGACTGTAACTTTTCAGTCTCGATCTATATATCGTTATATCCAGGAAAATGCTAATATATTCCTTAAAGTTTTATGATTTACATTTTCATCACATGACTTAAAAATTTCAACCAATGGTCGAGCGTTAGCGAAGATCATTGGGAAAATGTACGAACGAGCGTAGATACTGTATATAATATCACATGTAATATGGCCATTTTATTATTAGCAGCCTCCAATTTTGGAGATATACAATACATCATGTAACCTAATTATGTAATTAACACTATATAACAGATTGATCGTTTGTTTACATCATTTAGGCCGTAAAATTTTTAGAAAAGTGAAAAGGGCGGGAATAATTACAAGGGTGAGTGTCATATAATATTCTATATCTACGCTCGTTCGTACATTTCCCAATGATCTTCGCTAACGCTCGACCATTGGTTGAAATATACTTCACTCGCTCCGATATAGAATATCACATGTAGACTTCAGAGTATATGCTATTACGACGATTGTGCCCGGTTAAGTATAAGTGAGGAGGTCTTGTTCTTTTCTAACATTCTTCTGATCCCCGTTGATAGAACTTCTGATAAACTGTTATCGTGCCCAATTGCCAAGGGCTAAAATAGTAGCCATGTCAGCCCCTGCATCATGAGCTAGGAAAGCCGAAATAATCTAACGCCTTCAGCTTTTGCTTTTGGATCGAATTGAGCTAAAATATACTTAAGCTATCTTGAAATAGTGTCGACTGTAGCCTGCCTATGAGGAATAGTAGTAGTTAGGAATAATGACTCGTGATTATTGTGAGCATTCCTCCATGATGTGGTTCTCTCGATAAGGTTCAGAGTGGCCGAGACAGGACATAGAACAAGATCCTCACAAGAATCAATGAATATCATCTTTGTCTTGTGTTTATTACCTCCATGAGCAATAGATATATTTACTTCCTTGGGGTAATCAATTTCAAAAGAGATTCCTGATTGTACCTTTTGTAGGGATGAAACTTTAATACGATGAAGATCATTGGGTCGTGGAACAGTGCAAAGTGCAATCAGAAAAGCGGTCTTGCGAGATACAGTAAATCCAAAATAGTCATATAATTATTGCTTCCTAAACTAGCAATATAAAATCCATCGAGGGAATTATATCTATAGTATCATCTGATGCAGTAGGAGGATTTAGTTTATGGATGGCATTCATAAACTTAACGATATCCACGTGTCTTCCAATCTGATAACCATCAATTGGGTCATGAATTTCACTAATTGCTGAACGTTAAGAAGCGATAGTATTATAAGCTTTCTGGTGCTCAAACATTTTGTTTAGAAACTCAATAATTTTAACTATAGGATATCAAAAGGGATCCAAATTTTGCATGTCGCACCAAAGATTCCATTTGTTAATTGATAAATCCACGGTGATTTTCGAGCATTTGTTTGTTGTCTTCTGAATCATTTCAATAATCTCTTTGAAAAAATTTTTGTTTGAAGTCTTGTCCTGATACTAGACAAGCGAATAGTTTTCATTTGGGATTGTACCGGGAATCTGTTAGACCTGGATTTATCAAATAGTGTATCGGTAGAAGTAGTGGAATATCGATCACAAGATTTAGCAGAAGTGGAAACCAGGATGCTGTCTTCCAATAAGGAATTATCAAACATATTATAATTTAATCTTTGATTGTCTTTGTTAGAACCTGAGATATAAGTATCAATGGTAGATTTGCCCATGAGTGCTCGTGTGCCCAGGTGTATTTTATTGCATCGACCCCTAATGCAAATGGGTCTGGAAATCTTGCATAATACCTGGGTAGCAGCATGTTCCAGCTGTTGATGAAGAGATTCACTATAAACGGACCCATCTGGCTGACAGGTGAGCAAAAATCTGAGGATTTAGTTACCAATCCTATTGTTGATCTTGTGTCTGAATGCTCGAACTTCTTGAACATTGTATTTTTTTGAAAGATAATGAGCAATAATTTTGATCTTTCGGGAAAGACATAGATTGCAAATTGCTTCTGCCAGATTACTCAATTTCTGAGATATTGTTTCTCCTTGATGATTTAAGTATGCTACTGTTGTCATATTGTCTAATTTATTAAATTGTTTGATTGCGAATTTCCCTGAACAATAATACGACATAATAAACTGCCTTTAGCTCCAAGAAGTTGATGTGTGAGTGTTTTTGATTATTGGTCCAACGTCTCTGAATTATTGTTTGATTCATAATGGCTCCCCATCCCACTAGAAGGCATCTGCGAATATTGTTACTGTTGGAGATATTGGAATTATGCATGGACCATTCCATGTTCTTAGGTTGATAATCCACCATTCTAATTGTTGGACACTCCATGGTGACAAGGTTAGATGTGAATCCCATCCCTTTTTCGAGAGTTCAATTTTTGTCTCTTATTAACACGCGTATCCTTAATCTTGTAGGAAAACTGCTCCAGCTGTTGCTAAGAGTTTTCCAATTATAGCAGCAAGCTTTTTTATATGAATGTTCTTTAATTTTAAATTATTGAACACATTTTCGCGGGAAGCTACGACTCGTGAAGGATACCCTTCTTCAAAGAGAGCACAAATCCGGACTCTTTTTTCGGGTGAAAAGTAAACCATGATGGTAGAAAATTTGAGGAGAGATGGTGCAAGTCACAAGACATTGGTTTTATATAGCTTGTAGGTTGTTTTGAAACGCGTTAAAACGCGTACTAGATGCTAATATTAATTTATTAAAAACGGTCAAAAAAAATGCATCGCTATTTTCGAAGAATTGCACATCCAGCGTGAAAATTTTTTTAGATCATAAAAAAAAAAGAAGTACATATACTGTATATTTAATATTATATTATGACGAGCTCAATTTGGAATTTTAACATCTGGATCACAAAATATCGCCATTTTAAATTTTGTGTTCAGGTGATGCAATACATTCGAAAGCCACTGTACAAATACGCAACATGGACAGACTTATTAATCGATACCTCCAATGACGCGATTCGGTCGAACAATTCCTGTTCACAGCTCGAACTGGTGATTTGGACCGGTGGCTTGACTATGATATGAATATGTCTCTTTGATGGTGCAGTCCAGTAATCTCCTACGTCCCGGATTGCCAGAAGTTCGACATTCAATGCAGGGTTGACTAACTCGGAATCGCGATCGTCAGGAATTTTCACCTTCCATAACTTGATGTCTTTGGCTTCAAATAAATTTGCACCGGCAATCGGGTAGGGACATGCGTATTGCGATTGTGATGCTTCATTTCCACTGATTAGAATAGTCTTGAGGCGTGCCTTTAGTTCGGCTATAAGATGTTTAAGTACTGCTTGGGAAGATTCGTCTTTCAGATTTTTGCACTCACACATGAAAGGGGAATACTGATAATGACGGATCATCCGTTTCACCGAGTCCATACAGTTGGCATATCTTTGGAAATGTCCATTCTGCAAAAGGCTTCGAGGGTGTCTCTATAAACACGATAAACTTGAAACTATTTTTCGATATGAGAAGGTGCAGCATTTCGCGAAATTCTTGGTCATTTCGAGGTGAGTATTTTCCGCTGTCGCATACCATGTTGAACACCGCTCCATCATTTCAAGTATTGGCGTTTGGTATACTGCACGTATGGAATTTTTGAGAGCTTCGAGGGTCGCATGCTCAATATTCACTGTTCACTTAGATAACTTCGTCCGTTTCGGTCTTACGACAACATCTAATTCTGCAACATTGACACCGCCAGAAATAGTTTTATGGTGGCATACTAACTTGCCACTATCGATATCAACAGCGAAGGTAAATATACATTTCGAGTTATATACCGTATAGGCGCGAAATAATACCCATGTGCGTTATTTTGAAAATGGCTCATTTAAAAAAATAATCATTTATTTTGCAATAACGCCCATGGGCGTATTCAAAATAACGCGCACTTATATAAAAGGTAAACTGGCTAAAACTTTATTATATAATATTTAATACAAAAAAATTATTTTTATTTTCTATTTATTCATAATCACTTATTTCCATAAAATCCTCCTCTTCATCGGTTTCATAATCATAATTTTCTTCTATCATATCTTTTAGATCTAATTCATCAGATGTTAATATTTCATCTTCACTTAATAATTCTTCTATATTAATATTATTTATACGATTTTAAACAATAGCTTTAAGTCAATCTGTCATTTTATAATCTTCACTACCATTAGTATCTAATAAGTCCAGTTACTTCAAATGATTTGCTAAGAGTTCAGTACTAATTTCTTTCCATGTTTCTGATACCCATTTACAAATTAATTCATAAGAAACTTTTTTGCAATTTCCATTTTTCGTAAATTATTTTTTTCCATCAGTAATCTTTTCTTCCCATTTTTTTCGCATTTTTGTTTTAAATGGCTTGTTTACTGAAACATCTGGTGGTTGTAAAACACTAGTTG